TTGGTTTCAGTTTTGGTACAATATCTCTTTATTTCTAACAGTGTGTCATTTCATTAGTAAATGGCGAGACTGTACATAAATTATTATTATTATTTTTTTTGTCTTTCGCTTGTTGGCTTACTTAAAACATTAAAACTTGATTATAGTATGGTTATCACGTGGATACTTGCTGAAGGCGCCAGTTTATTAAAATACTATGATTATAAAATTACTATGTGACGTCATCTTTCAGAGTGCGTGGTTGGTCGCCAAATTTAATTCTTATTTTGACCTTGGCTTATCGTTCTACACGGAGAAAAAAAATAAATGCTTTGAAGTTCCATATTCTTGTGTTGAGTTGTTTCTCAATTTATGTATTTGGTTGTAGTTCACCGAGGGGAACGGTCCTGACATTGCCGGTGATAGCAGTGACACTTGCTAAAAGTTACAAAATGGTTACTTCAACTTGCTTATTTTTAACCACTCTATTTTTATCTTGATATCTTATTCCATGTTTTTTAAATTCTTTCCAAATTTCGGTATGTTTCTGAAGAGAGCTGTTTTGGTCGGAGTTTGTGAATTTGGTTATAAAAGGTCCTCGTGTTTTGAAGGGTTGGACATTTTTTTTTGCTGAGCACCTAAAAGTGCTTTTTATCGGATTTCAAGTAATGAGTTGTGTGTATTTTTTTGGTATTGATTATTGTCTTTTCATAGAGCAACATATCAAGTTAGTCTCATTTGGATGTCCATCATTAGTTTGCAAATCGTTTGGTAGAACTTACACTTCAGACTATATATTTCCACAGTAATACATTTAACTACTTTATCAATACATTTAACTGGTTGTTTTTGGTGCTGCATTTTTCCTCGTTAGTTCGCGTTTAGCAAAGCGACAGCTGAAGTTCAATATTCAGGATAGCGGTCACTGCTCAGTTGACAGTGGTTTCTTAACAAAAGGCGGAGTAAGGAGTCCCTTGTCCTTAGATCCACTGTTGTGCAACCTTCTTCCCGTCACGTTTTCCCCCCTTTATTTGCTGCTTAAACGAAGGTTTACTGTTCTCTATTTTGCTGTTGTTACTTTTGAATTAATATATCGACATTTGTTTATGCAGTTATTCATTCATTGCAAATATGATTTTTGATTTCCAGTTTTCTTTTCTGACGTCTATATTTTTAATAGTAATTATTTTAGTTGGCTAGTAGTTTTTATTTGCTGGCAGTTTTTCATTGAGTCATTAGTTAACAATGAATTATAGGAGGAATATTAGTGGAAAACATGATTTTGTTCTAGTTCATTATGAGCTTTATTCAATATGAGCTTTAAGATATTTTGGTATGAGGAAGATGTAGTGGTTTTTGGGGTTTGGTGAAGCCATTTTACTCTAATACTTTCTTGCATAAAAATTCTCCAATTTATTTGCTAGCTGGTATTTCGGATGTAGTTTATGGGTTTGTCATTACCTTCTTTCAGTCGGGGCAAACACCACTTTAGAAGTGTTTGTGTTTAATTTGTACTCCTCGTTTTCCTTATGTTTTTGTCTCATTTATTTTAACAAAAAATGGCTTTTTTCAAATTTGTTTCAGTGAAATTTTGTTTTCGCTCGATTTGGCCCCTTAGCTGCTTTCATGGATTCGGCAACGGATACTGTTGAAGGCGGCAATAAAGAAACGGGAAACGTTGTTGAAGAAACTGCCGACACGAAAAAGACTCAGAAATCTGCTGAAAGTGGGAAATCGCAAAAAAAAACATCAGCTAATGGTAACGTCAAGGATGCCACAGAACAGCCATCGCAGAAAACCCCGTTGAACAGTGGTAGTGGTGATGCAGAAAAATCGTCTAAGAAGGCTCCTCTTAGTAAGCATAAATCTGCTGACAGACCTGATTATAAATGGTCTCACAACAAGGTTTTTTTTTCATTTCTTTGACGTATTCAAGATTTTTTCTTTATTTTGATAGATGGAGTTTTGTTTTCTTTCTTGATGAGGTGTGTGGAGTTTTAGGCGAAGCGTCAGGCAAGTCAAGGAAATGAAAGAGAAAGTTCACGCAAGAGCATGAACAGTAGTTCCAGTAACCGAAAGTCGTTTGATAAGGGTGATAAACCGCGCACCAGTTCTGCGAGTGTTGAGAAGACTTCTGGTGGTGGAGGTGATGCAGGAAGCAAGCGTAGAGTGAACTGTATGCGTTATGTTTGTTTGGCTTAGTTTAGTTTGCGGAAATTTTTATGATTTATAGTAACTCCTTTTTAGCCGTAAAAAGAAGCTTTACGAAAGAATCTTCTACTACTTCTATGGGTTCTGAAGGATTTGATTATGACGAAGATTGTGAGCCATTAAAGCTTATAATGATTTTTAATATTTCTAAAACACTGTTCATTATTTATATAGAAGACTTTCTCTTTCTTTTGTTATGGATGCATTTTGATTTTGATAGGTCTTTCAAATCTGAATTTGTTGTGAGGATAAGTCTGCTCGCAGACTTGCTTTAAGACAAGAATTGGTTTCTGTTAAGCGACGCATTGTTGAATTTAGCATCACTATTGTTTTTTTTTTCAAGAAAACACAATTTTTTCATTTTCTTTATACTCTTTTCTTTATTTTGTTTGTAGGATATGTTACAGTAGTGCTATTTCCAAAGTTCTCTCGCTACCTTTTAATTTAAAATTCTTTTACGATGGCGTTTTTGTCAGGATTAATTTTCTTCTTCTTTTTTTTTTTTTTTTTTTTTTTTTTT